GAGAGAATACTAAAGACTATTATTTTAATCTGATTTTCTAGAAGGCTAACATTATTTTAGCAAAGAAACTAGACCAAAATGGGATTAGGGCAACTGTGTTTTATATCTTTGATGCTTGAAATGGATTTATAATTACTTTGTTAATCACATTTGCTAAAGCTGATGAAGCCATAATATTCAGTTATTTTTCTTTACATTTTGCTGGATTAGGGTCTAAGCTTTAAAGTAAAATTTCTTAAAATCACAAGAGTAATGGATGGGTAGACATGTACTATATGATGATTATATTATATGCATCATATGAAAATAGAGTGATTTGTGACTGTCAAGGTCAGAATTGTTACTTTACACATAAGTACAAAGTAGATTTATAAAAGGCTAAATATTCACTGGACATTTTCCTAGAGCTTTAGGACCACTAAATTCTGTTTCTTTTAGAGTAAAATCAGTCATTAGAATAAGGTGAGTTTATGCACTTTGTTTTAATCATAACCATTTCCATTATATATATTATATAACTTACATATTTATATACTAAAAGTATTTGGGTATTTTTTGCAGTTAATTTGTCTTTACCAGAGGCAGGAACCTTAGAAACGCTTTTAATTGGGGAATGTTTCTATAATACAGTTATTCTGGAACTTTAAAATAATAGCAAGGAAATTACTCCAAATACAGGATTTTTGTGTACCCAGTGTTCATGGTAGGTGTTCTTAAGTTTAAATACTATTTAATGTAAGGGAACTTTAAAACTAGTCTCTTTATTGATTTTGCTCTCCTATTTGGACCAAATAATGAACCGTTTATTTGGAAATTTGTTTTTATGAAAGTACTTTTATTTTGGGCAACATTAAACTGATTTTATGCATTTTAAATATGGTTTTCCCTTCAACACTGTAACTATATACCTGTATTTACTTGACATGAATATGCACAAGTTGCTTTGTGTTTGGGATTCTGGTGAAAGTGATTTATGCATTCCCTAATTATAGTTTGAAAATCTTTCCATGTCAGCCTCTTGAAATCTACCTCATTCTTATAAATAGCTGTATGCTACTGTCACAATGCATCATCTCAATGCACAAAAATAGAATATACTTATCTTAAATATTATATTTGACTCTTACCTGGCCAAGAACTAAAAGGCAAACTGGTCACACAAAATTTGAATAAATCCTATCATATATATTTCTTAGCTGTCTCATTGGGAAGTATTCTAAAATTAAATTACATTTTATAGCTTTGACTGCATTTATAGCTCTAGAGGTGATTTTTTTTTTTCTAGAGGTGGTATTATTCTTATAAATACTAAGAGAAAAAAAGGAAAGGAAAATACCATTTGTAAGTAAGATTATCTCAGATTGTTAACAGAGACTTAAAGAAGGAACTAAACTTTTTTCTTTTTGGATCTTTTCTGATATATGTATATACTCTTGCTATTCTTACTGCTCTGTACAATACTGTTTTCTTCTGCCACGACAGCATAGGAGTAACATTAAGCATTTTAAAAGCATAATCCTGAAGTGTGTAGTAACTTGTATGAGCGGTTTTTAGATCAACACTGTCAAAAAATGACCTATAAAGCAGAATATTTTTTCTCTTTTTATTTTAGGAAAGGCTGTTTGTCAATGAAGAAAATGTTGATGAGGTTCTTGAAGAAGTCCTGAGCCCTCCATTTAATCAGACAATGTCCTTAACCCCACCATTAATTGAAGTTCTTCAGGTTACTGATAGTAAGATTCAAATTCATGCAAAGGTAAGGATTTGGTGGCCTTTGTAGTGATTTAGGACAAGGTTAAAGCCTGACAGATAACTTAATTTTTGATTTCTTGATGTCATAACTTTAAATTAAGTGTACATAATGGCTGGGAAGACTGAAGAGGAGTAGAGACTTTTTTGCCTGTATTTTCCTATGGGCCAAACACTTTGTGATTCATTTTCACATATCTCATTTAACCCCGAAATAACTGTCCAGTGAGGAAGAGGGAAACTAACATTTGGGAAGTTTCAATCCGAGTCCAGGGACAAACAAGTCTTTTTGACTCTCAAACCATGGGAAGGAGCTATGTCATTCAGTTTGTTCATTCTTTCTAGTTGAACCTTAAGTCTGGTTATTCTTAGTCTTCAATATTGGACACAAATAATTTAGTAACTAGCACAATTAATTTACATATGAATTGGGGAGGAGAGTAGCTCTAAAGAATCACAGAAATTCAGGAAAAAGAAATTCAAGAATGCCCTTATAAGAATGAATACTAAATGGTTTTGTAGGCCATGTCAAAGGGTTTGTAGGCCAGGAATATTTTATTCTGAAGGAGGTAAGGGGTCATTGAAAGGAATTAATCAAGAATTAATGTCAGGTTTGCACTGTCTGCATTGTTAAAAAGAACTGGCAGCATTTAGAAGATGATTTGGAGGCGGAAAGCCCGGAAGCCTATCTGCAGATCTGTAAGCATTATTTCTTCACAACTTACCAAGAAAAAAAAAAAAAAAAAAAAAAATCCAGAGAGCACAATTTAATTTTCTGGTTTTTTTTCAAAGATTCTTAATTTGTTGTTTCTCTTGACATAGTTGCAAGAATGTAGTAACTCTGAAAAGCTTAATGAAAAGGAAGAAAAAGGCAATGAAGGAAGTCATCTGACTGAAAAAGAAAATATAGAACATCCTACTACCTCAACAACTGATTCTGATTCATCTCTAGAAGTTAAAGTACTAGAGACAGGCAGCTGTGGTTCAGTTGTGTGCTTGCAACGAGGGGCTCCTGATGTTTCTCACTTGCTATTTGAAAAGTCTCAGCAACTTGAGTCAAAAATGGAACCTGAATTTATAAAAGAAAAAAGTCCTGCTTACTCAAATGAGGAAAAAGAGGACTTAGAAGAGCCAGTGATAACAGAAGAGAAAGAATCAGATGGAGATGACCTATCTTCATTACTAAACAGAGCTTCAGTTCACAATTTACCTGGTCTTAACAATGTAAAAGAAACCAATATGCAGGACGGTAGTGTGCAGATTATTAAAGATCATGTGACTCAATGTGCATTCAGTTTTCATAATTCTCTGCTATATGACTTGGACTGATTCTGTATAATTTTAGAGTTTATAAGAGTAAAAAGTGTTTGGCCTTAAAACATTATCTTTCTGTTAACTACTATCTTAAAGTACTCAAGAAAGTACAAAATTAAAATTTGCAGTTTTGATTCTCATGGGGAAACTGGAGATTTATTGTTTTTTTGTATGTAGAGTTTATACAGTTTCCTTAATTATGGAGACTTTTGTGATTCCTCTGATAGATACATTTTTTCTAATGGCAAGTTAATCATTTAGTTTTAAAACAACCTGTATATATTTGCTTGTTTTTGGCTTCTTTTGTTTACCATTACTTTAATAAAGTTTCAAAGTAAATATTCATTAAGTTGTGTCTGTTACAAAATGTTAATTCTTAAGAATGCAATTAACTAGAAATTAATCAGTGTGGGGGAGGGGTAGAATCTCAAAACTATGCATTTATGTTTCACTAAATATGATTATTTATGCTTGAAACATTCTTAGAACTTTACTAACCAATATTAACCATCCCATTATGATACAGATACACTGAATGAAATTTAGTATTTTTGCTTCAACTCTGTATTTTATGTGTGCCACACACACACACGTATATATAGTTATACAGGTTATATAGTGATGCCTTTAAAATTCAACTTCTTAAAAGATGTTTTTGGAAGTTACTATTACAGTATTAAAACATTTCTTGGTTTTATAGATACATTTATGAATTTTTTAAAAGCTTTTAATTAATCTCTCTACCCAAACATGGGGCTTGAACTTACAATCCTGAGATCAAGAATCATACACTCCACCAACTGAGCCAGCTAGGCACCCCGACATTTATGAATTTTAGAACAACTAAAAAATCTGGGAATTTGCTCCCATAGCAAATTTGTCTTCACTATATTACATGAAAAGAAACCAAAGAGCCAGTGTTATCTAGTTAGTTTTGCTTGTAATATCTAAAAGATGGCAATAGATAATTCATCTTAACAGTTGTTATTAATATTTATATTGGAGGCCAGGAGAAAATCCAGAGATTTTTTTCTCACAAAATCTTTTAGTACAGCATGAATGAAAATGTAGAAAGGAAAGTATTTGTTGATCTAATTGCTGACCCCAAAACCATGGCCTAGTTTATCAATGATCTTTTTCTGACTCAAAATAATTCGAACTTCAGGCCTACCCTAGTCCTGGACATTAATTTTTTTAGTCCTCTGAACAGATGAAAGTCAAATCAGACCACCAAAAGCTAGTACAAATCATGACAATTCATCCTGATTGACATTTATAACCCCCTATAAAATCTGGAACCAAACTGGGCTGTGAGGGTAATCTAAAGGTAGCTCATAAAGCAAGAGAACTATTTGTTCCATATTTAACAACCACATGCATTTCTCAAACATAGTATGACTCTTAATTTGATGAAATAATTTCAAAATTGTCCATTTAATACACCATCTTCTTAGAATGAAATGATGTCCTAACTATGCAGAAATTAGTCTCTGTGTAACTTCTGGTTGAATACAATTATATACTATTAAGAGAAACTTCCACAAGAAATAAAGAATACATTTTAAGCATGTTTCCTATTATTTACTGTGTCTATCCTTTTAAAAAGTATGATTTCAGTTAAAATAAAGCTGGCACTGGAACATGTTTCACTTTGGCATGACTGAACTTTCTATCATTTCTGGCTTTCAAAAACAATTTAGGCTGTATTTCACTTACACAGCAGCTTTTTATTGTTCATTATCTATGCTTGGGTAATTTGAAAGCCAGTGTCTTCTAAAGGGAATGCATTGTCAAGAGTGGGGTTTTATTTCAAACTCAGTTATATGATGTACAAACAGTACACACGAAGATGTAAACTTTAAAAACTTCTAGAATGCCTTCACTGAATTTTGGTGTAAAGAGTAAACAAAATTTATTCTGCAAAATAATTATGAACCTTTTTATGCAAAAATGAGTATTTTATTTTGGCAGCACTAAAAGAAAAAAAAAAACCCACTGTATTTCTACATTGAGGTGAAAACAGTGTTTAAACTTTCTTATCAATCAAATACATTCCAAAAGAAAGTGTGTTCTATGAAGGCTCCAAAGCACAGGCAAATCTTAACACAATAATACAGGAATCTGTAATACTGAAAATGTCTGTTCTGATAGGGCGTTTAACAAACATAACTTTTGTATTATAAAACCAGTGAAGCAATCCCTTCCTAGTAACCGTGTCAAGAGTGAAACTGGGCTTGCTCCATTAATACTAATAATTCCATTGTAATACTTTTTACTGCTATGACAATTTTAAATAAAGTCTGCTGTACTTAAAATAAGTTTTAAAAGTGGAAAAGTGTACAAAGTTCCAGATAAAAAGATTAATAGACGCAACTTAAATAAAATTTCCCCTTTTCTTTTACCAATTAATAATGATTACCTTTAGCAGATAGAGATTGAACTTTAAAACCCAACTCCCAAAATGAAAACTTGTGTTTAAATTTTAATCAGACATAGAAGGAAAAGATTGCTATATTTGGACATCTTTTACAAGAATTTTTTTTTTTCTGTATTAAAGCAGAAACCAGTTCCTAAACCCTTTTATTCAATTGTATATTCTGTTTGGACAAATATCAAAAATAGAAGACTGTGACTTTTGCTTTTGTAATTGTGATTTTTCACTGCAGTCTTCTATAACTTTTACAGAGTTCATGGTCCCTAATATCTCCCCACCCTCCATTTTTCCTAGGTGGGGAAATGGCTGCCACTAATTTCTCACTGATAATTAGAGTTTCTGGAAACAAGTACTGTTTGTTATTATTTAAGAGTGACTCAATTTGGGCACTCTGGGTGGATGGTCTACAGGTTTTCTTGTGGTGCATACCACAGTCTCCAGCATGAAATATCCTAGGAACTTGAGGAACCAGCACTTTCCAGAATTTTGGAAGACAAGATACAGTTAAATATTGAAGAGTCCAGTCCCAGTTATAATCATCATAAGTACAGAAAGTGTCTGTGCACTCAATCAGCTTCTGATATGCATCCCGGGTCAAGGCTAGACCCATATTGTGCTCTGTGGATTTCCAAGTTTTCACATCTACCTTGTCAGCAATGCCATGGAAACTTCGAATGGCCGTATAGGTCCCCAGGGAGAGAACATCACACTCAGGACACTCCTCCTGCTTTAACTTCCACATCTTTTTGAAGACATGGTAAAAGTCGGGGGCTAAGTAGTGATCTTCCTCTAGGAAAAGTATGAGGCCAGTATAGTCTCGAAGAACTTTGACCCTTTCCCATACAAAATGCAGCTTCCACCACCAATGGTGTTTGGTTTGGGAGAACTTAGCCTCTCTATAATGGCCAAAGGAGTCGGGATACTCAGCATTAATGCATCCCATCTTCAAAGCTGCATTCTTCTCCAGATCTCTGGGGCAATCTCTGGGGTCGCTGCCTGGAAACTCGTTGGGGTATAACTGAATGCTGAAAGGAAAGAACACCTGCAGAACCGGACAGAAATCCACCCCAGCGATCAGCTGATTGATCTCTGTCGACCAGAAGTCATGGCTAAAGATGACGAGGACGTTGTCAATACCCTGGGCTTTTCGGAGTGAGTCCAGCAGCAGTCTGAGGTAATCGGGCCGGTTATGCACCTGGACCACCAGCACCAGCTCTCCAGGAGCCCAGGAGCCGGCCTTATCTACATTCCTCAGCGTCTGGTCAAAGTTCAGCTGGTACACCAGGGACCTGTACCGCAGCGTCAGGTTGTCTGCCTCGGGCTGCGGGGCCGCCGGGACCAGAGGAGCCGCCGACTCGTTGGAGACCCGGCGGATGCCCACGGACACAGCAGAATGGTCCCCGCCCCGGCCGCCCGCACCTCGCGCGGGCTCGGCGTCCAGCAGCGGCGGGGCGAGGGCCTCGCTCTTCCTTTGTCGCCCATTGCTGCTCCAGAGGACGAAGCCGCAGGCGGCCACCACGAGCGTCAGGATCAGCACCTTCCGCTTATAGATGCGGAACCTCATGGTCTCCAGCGCAGGGAGCGCGGACGGGCGCAAAAAGGAGCTAGCGGCTTCTGCACAGAAGGGGCGGGCGGGTGGTGGCCGTCGCCTTGGCCTATAGCAGTCAGAACTGGCCCCCGCGGCTGCCCCAGCTAACTCATCCCGGGCCCCGGGGGTCCAGGGGCCCGAAGGGTCTCAGTTCCCCTGCGCCGCCCGGGCTCCACACATCCTCGCCTGGCAGCTGCAGCTCGGGCAGCGGCCCCGCCGCTAGGAGCCGCGGCTCGGCGTCGCCTCGGTCCTCTCCATTCAGCACCGGTCCCGGAAGAAGTCCCGCCGCGGCCCCACCGCACCCCGCTTGGTTACCTGCGCCTCCAGCGGCCCTGCGTCCTCTGCGCTCTCATCCTTACGCGGGCCCCAGACCGCCAAGACCCAGCGACGCAGCCTGGCCCCACTCCGGCGGCGACCGTTCTGACAACCCGCGACTGGCCCGCCGAGCGCCGCGGTCCTCCGGCCCACACCCCTCCGGCCCGCCCCCTGGGCCGCTGGTTGGAGATTCCCGGACGCGTCCGGAGACGACGGGCCGCCGCTGCCTGCTGCCTATTGGTCCGTAGCACTGTCGCTCACGCTCAGTTCCTACTTCCGCTTCATCCTCCCTTTCCTGTTAGGCGCGAGCAGAGCGAGGCGAGGATCGTGGTTGCCGAGTTTCCCGGTAAGCTAAGACGGGAGTGTAGCGGTCTCAGCAGGAACCTCCAGTGCTCAGAATCTGAAGATGGACCAGGCCCTTGTAGGAACTGGAGGGTGAGACCCGCTGCCTTGGCAGAATTAACGGGCTTCTCCCCTCGGAAAGGGGCTCACGAATGACGGCTAGTGGGCCGGGAGATGCTTATTAAGGGACACGTCAGCCTTGAACACTGCTCACGGGTGATGGTGCTTCGGAGGGGAAAAGTGCAACCAGACAGCTCCGGTTCCCGGAGAAGGAACGGAAGCGGGCGGTAGCTGGAGCTACTGACCGAAACCAGGCACTGAACCGGACATACCCGGGAGCTAGAACATGGAGGAAAAGGGTGTGAGAGGGTCTGAGAAAGAAAATCAGATAAACACCACTACGCTTTTTGGGACGGCCACAGTAAATTAAGCTCCAAAGGACCCCATTTTGTACGGGGAACTGGCTGTTTGGCGCCCCTATGCTGCTTTTAAGTGAGTCTTATTCCATAAATATTCTGGACATAACAAAAAGGTGTGCACTTTTGTATTGAGTCATAGGTAAAAGGAGTACTTGGTCGGTTTATACATTACTGACATATGTAATGTTTTCCTATATTTTTAAAGCACTTTATTAAAAATGTTTTAAGTTTGCTACTTTAACTTCAAATGTTTTACATTTTCATCGTGCAGACAGCGCTGCTGCAGAGATGGTCAACGTTCCTAAAACCCGAAGGACTTTCTGTAAGAAGTGTGGGAAGCATCAGCCTCACAAAGTGACCCAGTATAAGAAGGGCAAGGATTCCCTTTATGCCCAAGGAAAGAGGCGCTATGATCGGAAGCAGAGTGGCTATGGTGGGCAGACAAAGCCAATTTTCCGGAAGAAGGCTAAAACCACAAAGAAGATTGTGCTGAGGCTTGAATGTGTTGAACCTAACTGCAGGTCCAAGAGGATGCTGGCCATTAAGAGATGCAAGCATTTTGAACTGGGAGGAGATAAGAAGAGAAAGGGCCAAGTGATCCAGTTCTAAGCTTTGAGTTTCTTATTTTTGAGAAGAAAATGTTGACCCTGTAGAAAAACTACCTGTATGAAAATAAAGTGATATTTTACCCAACTGTTTTTTTTTTTTAAATCTAAATAGAATGACATGCTTAGTGAATTGAATCACATGCTTAATGTGATTCAAAATAGAAAATTTGCCAATGAACTAAGGTTTATCTTCAAATATATATATGTATGTATTTTAAAGATTTTTATTTATTTGACAGGGAGAGAGGGAACACAAGCAGGGGTGGGGGTGGTAAAGGGAGAAGTAGACTTCCCATTCAGCAGGGAGCCTGATGTGGGGCTCCATCCCAGGACTGTGGGATCATGACCTGAGCTGAAGGCAAACGCCTAATGACTGAGGCACCCAGGTGCCCCTTATTCTCAAATTCTTACTTAGATTTAGTTCCACAAAATTGGAATTTTGTATTTATATATAAAGAAAACAGGAGTCCCACCTCCCAACTTTATAAACTAGGTTATGGATATAAATCACATAGCAGGGGAAAAAAAAACCATACATTTTCTGGTCAATTTCAAATTAATGTGTTTGGTGAATTCATAATTATAACTGATGAGCTGCTGGGAAAGGTGTAAATCAGATTTTGAAAAAAGTAAATGAGGAGGATAAATTAGGTCTGTGTATAGCAGACTGAATGGGGCAGACAGAGTATCCAAGCTGGGGTATAAGAAGAGCTGACTTGCAAGTTGGTGTCCAGTAGGGACCACTAGCTATACATAGATATATATATATATTTAAAGATTTTATTTATTTATTTGACAGAGATCACAAGTAGGCAGAGAGGCAGGCAGAGAGAGCAAGGAAGCAGGCTCCCTGCGGAGCAGAGAACCTGATGCAGGGCTCAATCCCAGGACCCTGGGATCATGACCTGAGCAGAAGGCAGAGGCTTTAACCCACTGAGCCACCCAGGCGCCCCTACATAGATATTTAAACGAAAAATGCAGTTCCTCAGTTACACTAGTTATATTTAGTGCTCAATAGCCACATATGCTGAGTGGCCAACCTACTGGACAACACAAATACAGAACATTTCCATCAGTTTTTTGGACAGCACTGTGACAGACTGGTCCTGAATGTAAGGCACGAGTTTAAAACAGACTTCTAACTGAAAGACATTCTGAAGCTAGTAAAAAAACAGTGAGTCCATGATGGCATAAACTGTTTTTTGATTCTTTAAGAAGCCATCCTGGAGATACTCAAATGTTAAAACTTCTTGGTTATTAGGAGGTTTGAGAAAGTATGCAGTTACCAATGAAAACAGAATGGAAAGCTGAAACTTAAAGAAGTGAGCCCTGTAACACACAGAAGGCAAAACATGCGTATCAAAAGGAAAGAATGACAAAGGGTATGGTTTATGAGAAGACAAATTCTGCATTTTGTACAAGAATTTTAAGTTGGCCAAGATATTTACATGGGATGGCTTGTAGATGAATAATGCAAAGGGCTGGGGTGTAGGACTAACAGCTGGTTGGCACTTAGTCCCAACACAGACACTTCTGCATTTGTTGATGAAAAACTTCTGGAGCACCTGAGTGGCTCAGTCAAGTGTCTGCCTTTGATTCAGGTCATGTTCCCAGGGTCCTGGGCTTACTGCTCTGTGAAGAGTCTGCTCTCCCACTTCCTCTGCCTGTCTCTCAAATAGATAAAAAAATAAAAATAACTTCTACAAGAACATGTAAAAATCAGATACACACATGTTAAATATGCCACAATACACTTTTAAAAGAACGATGCTTTAATGTAGTTACATAATATTTATGGGTAATCCTTCAACATTTTGAGTTTAGCAAATCCTAAGATGTTTTACTTAATTATAGAATTCTTGGTTTTAAGAGCTTAAGTGAATTAACTTTAGAAGGTATACAAAACCTGGGCTTAAAATCTCTGGTCTGGGTTCATGGTACCTCCTAGGGTAATTTGAGAGGATTAAATCAAATACTGTATGTAAAACACCTGGAAAAAAGATGGAGCTAAATGCAGCTCTTTTTAATGCGTAAGCCATTTTTGCATTATATATGATTTTTTTTTAAATGAAAACTAGAAATTATATAGAAATCTTTTGCGGGAAGAATTTGACCACAAGCAAAACAAATTTAAGGTCACCCAAGAATTACTCTGGATGAAAGAATCCACTCTGAGAAGAAACTACATTTTAGAGATCCTATACATAAAGTTTTAATAAAACTCTTCTAACAGTTAAAACAGTATTTACTCAGGAATACTTGTAATTTCAGAAAAGAATAAAATGCTCCAAATAAATATTTTAGGACAGAGGAAGTAGCAGCTACCTAAGCCATAAGAAATAGTCTTACGCAGACTAACCGTAAGTCCTGGCCCAAAGCAGCAATGGTATGCTAAGACGAGATGGCTTTCTCTAGTAACTTTTACTTCCTTTGTTCCCAGAAACCGGATGTGAGGCTATTGCAGTGACCTAAAAAAGAGGCTGATCTGAAGAAGGGCCATAGGAATGAACAGAATGGAGCAGTTCTGATTTTGTTTTCCACAATTTTTTCAAGCAGCTTCATTTTCCATTCCTTTCCCCTGGTTCAAATCCTCATCATAGTTTAGCTGGTGTATTACAACTTTTTAAATTAAAAAATAAAAATATTAAGTGACTAAAATAATAAACAGAAAAAAGAACCTTCAAATACAGAATGCGGTCAGTAAAAAGTAGCAATTTTTAACTCCCACCCAACCCTAAAACTGTGTTCCAACTCTGGAAGTTAAAAAACAGAAATCACAACAAAGATGTGAGTAACATTATAAAACCTATAAAAGCTGAAGTCTGTTTATCCCAAAGCAGCTCCAACTTTATGCTTGAATATAGAATTCCATACGTAGAATAATATACTCGAAAAACACAAAAAGCGGTATGCTTATGAGGTTTCATACCAAACAAGTTTTCACTAAAATTTAGACTATGTTAGTCCTTCAAGGTATATTTTCTACATATAGGAACTCAATTTTTTTAATTGAAACTCAAAAATTGTTAAGAAAACTCTATGACTGGAGTGATAGGGATCAATATCTGTTTAACATTAAAAGATAACCCACAACCCATTCTGGAAACACTAGGTTGAAATAAATACATGTGCAATAAACTGATAAAATTGTTTCTTCACAATGAAATTAAATAGGTTTTAATGAAATTAAGGTTTTACAGTCAAATGATTGAAAATGTTAGAGTAACATCTTCCCCTCAAGTATATGAAAGGCTTCCCTTTCTTCAGTTTGACACAGTTAAACCACAAATGAATCCCAAACTGATCTGTAACTAAATGGAATTTCTTTTTGTAGTATCACCTATTACTTTAACATATCACAGGAATTTACGTAACAGGCTAGAGAACAGAAGTAAGACATAACAGGTGCTTCAGTACCACCCATATTATCTACTAAGACCACAGTGTGAGCAACAGAGTGTAGATTCATAGTAGTAGTTCCCTGAATAAAAGAGTTTAGACAGAATCTTCCACAAACACAGGTTTTTGCAGTATCCAAA